AACAAGACAATGACCCTAAGTACACAGCTAAAATAATGAAGGAGTGGCTTTACAACAACTCTGTGACTGTTCTTGAATGGTCCCGCCAGAGCCCTGACTTAAACCCCATTGAGCATCTCTGGAGAGACCTGAAAATGGCTGTCCACCAACGTTTACCATCCAACCTGACAGCACTGGAGAGGATCTGCAAGGAGGAATGGCAGAGGATCCCCAAATGCAGGTGTGAAAACTTGTTGCATCATTCCCAAAAAGACTCATGGCTGTATTAGCTCAAAAGGGTGCTTCTACTAAATACTGAGCAAAGGGTCTGAATACTTATGACCATGTGATATTTCAGTTTTTCTTTTTTAATAAATCTGCAAAAATGTCAAAAATTCTGTGTTTTTCTGTCAATATGGGGTGCTGTGTGTACATTAATGAGGAAAAAAATGAACTTAAATGATTTTAGCATATGGCTGCAATATAACAAAGAGTGAAAAATTTAAGGGGTCTGAATACTTTCCGTACCCACTGTACTTTTCCAGGACAAACTCATGGCAGGATCGTCACTACCAGGAAAGACCACAGTCACTGCATTAAACAAAAACTGTGTGATCATGTCTGCTTCATAGAAATTGCAAAATTAAATCCCTTGCAGAATTGCAATCAGCATGTATCAGGTAAACACACATAACAAAATAGTCACATTTAATAGTTCAGTCCCAAAAAGTCAAGCATGCATAGGTTAATACAACAAAGTTCATGAAAAAGTCAATTTTTGTGGTTAATTTAAAAATCAGTAAAGTGTCTGTGTTGATGCCACATTTTAAAATCCTTCAACAATATTATTATTATTTTAATTTTATAAAGCAGTACCAAAATCATATGAGGGAATAGTAACAATAAAACAGTTACAGCATTGATAGTGCAGTTGCATTGAAAAGTGTTCACATATCCCAGGATCAAGGCAGAGAGACATTTCCCTTACAAAAATCAAAAAACATCATGGCAGCATAGCCATTTGTCATTTAAAAAAGCACAGAGGTTCACTGTGTCAATCTTTATGTATTCATCAGCACACTGCGGGCTTAAGCAAGACACAGACAGTGGTAATCCTCAGGAGGACCATAACTGACAAGAAAGTTCTGTTGCTTATTGTTGCTGATCCTTGTGTGGATCTTGTTTCCACTTTAAACCAGACGAGTGTCTCCTGAGAGGATCTTCTAGGTCCTTCTATGTGGAATGACAGATTGTCCAGTTTCGATGTTTACCCCAGGTTGAATTATTCTCTCTGTCATCTGGGCTTGTTGGGGGGCATCAGGGCAACTCTCCCTAACTAGAAAAACAAACACTGTGAGCACACATACTTTGTATGTAGGCTTCTTTAGCACAGCTGCAGTTTTCTTTCTACGAGCTCTGTCTTTATGTGTTGATTATTATCTCACCACATCTGCCTCGTAGCCATTCATTAGTGGCCAGGACAAGTTTATGTTCTTACTCCCTTACTAACAGTGAATCGCTGCTTGTTCATTACACTGCTATGTTGGGACAATGCCCCAAACCACAGACGCCTTAATAAATGTGAATGCTATGAAAAACATGAGGAAAGTCCATTTGTCTCTGGCTGTTGTCTAAATACATACCAGCTGTGTATGTGGCAGTGAAGACAGGGTTGAAAAGGGCTTCGGCTTCACTGGAGGCAATGGAGGCTTTGGTTTCATCATCTTAGAAAGCAGATGTTTGCATTTCAAATGAGTGGCAATGACAAGAGCAGTTAAATAAAATGAAAATAATGTGAAAGTCCTGGGTTAAGTGACTTACAATGGCACTTACTGGTTTTGTTGCAAGTGGTGGCAGAGGTCTGGATGGAGGTAGTGGCTTGGCCTGACAAAAGAAATACAAAAATTAATGCATTACTTAACAAATCAAACAATCACTGTCTTTAAAAAGACAATAAGAAACATTATGTATGCAGTTTTACCTCAGTATAAACTGGCTTGACTGGAACAGTTGGTGGCTGCATGAATGGCCTTACAACCTAAAGAAAAACATTTATTTACTGACTGAAATACAGTAGACACATAAAAACCAAGAACTCATGTTAAATAATGTTACATTTAAATAAAGACAACACACTAGATCAGATTACCTTTTGAATCATTGATGGCTGAGATACAGCTGGCACTTTCTTAGGTGGCTGTAAGTGGAAAAAACCAGAGATAAGTACAAGGAAAAAGCTGGAAGATGATGATTATTTAACCATAACCCTGACTGGTTCTGTAGCTTAGTTACAAAAACCCATGGAATTCACTGGTAGTCGGTGTGGTTTAGGGACACATGAACACTTCACATACTTACGGTTTCTGTAGCTTCAAATTTGCACCAGTTAATCACTACACTTTGGTACAGTAGCTATAAAGCTCACCTCAGGAGCTGCCCTACTGGGCTTCAGCGCTCCGCCATGTGGTCGGGCAGTAGCAGAGAACAGAAGTTTACAGGCTTGAGGGGCTGAAGACGCCACAAATGTAGGCTGACTGATATGTGTGGTCCCGAGACGAGGGCTGCCTCGTGTACTGCTTGACCGAAACAAGGGGTTGGATTGTCCTGAGGTAGATTGGAGGTGTCTATAAAGAAATCAACACAGCTGCTATTAAAGGTGGACAACATACAAGGTTTTGTCTGTTTGGCTTCATATACACAGAGAAGTGATCTGAGACCAACAGAAAGAATAACTTCTTACTGTACCTCTTTGGAGGTCGCCTTTTTCTGATGCAGTACATAAAACTCCCGATACCCAGTACCATCAGCAGAAGTAAGCCAACCACCAGTGACACAGTAAACACTGCCAAACCTGCCGCTGCACACACACAAACACACCACTGATTGGATGAACATGTAATATAGTAATCATCAACTGCTCAGGAAGCAAATTCACTGTAACATCATTTACTGCATCTGTACAGACTTAATAGGAGAATTAAATTAAACCTGTTTGTGTTCATCAGAACAGAGCACAATTGTTTGAGAGTCAATGACAAGTCTATTTCAAGAATTAAATATTGGTGAAAAAAGCATAAGAGCAAAAGACAAACAGTCATGTGTAATCTTTGTCATTAAAAGGTCATGCACTATCAACGCTTACATGTGAGGATGGACAAACATGAAATGAACAGTACCTTGAGGCAGCTCTGACTGCTGTACATTGCAGAAAGGTGGCGCCCAGCCAGGGTCACAGTGACACTTACTCTCATGGTTACAAACCTGCCAGTGATGACACTCACAGTCAGTTACGCCATCATGCATCTAAAGAGCTCCCAATTGTTGAGGTTAAAAAATTTCTTACCCCATGGTTGTTGCACTTTGCAGAACAGTCATTTTTTCCGTACACTTTTATGCTTTTGATGTCTTGACACCGATGATCATAGCAGACCTGAAAGACACATAAAGATATTGTAAGGACAACGGGTTCACAGATTCTGTTCACAGTAACTGTCAACAGCAACTTCAGTTTTCTTACCATATTGTTGCCACACTTGGTTCCAGTAGGTACCATGGTCAGATCTGCAGGGTAGTTATCCTCAGGGTTCATAGTTGCTTCATTACATATGTCTCCATTTCCTACTTTGTAGAAGAGCTTCCTGGATGTCACAGGAAAATCCCAGCCTCCAGAGCAGAAAAGTGTCCCACAGGATTGATCGCTGTAACCAGAAACCACAAAGCAATGATCACAAAAACCAACAAGATTATAACTGATACTGGTCAAATTAATTTCATCATATATCATGCATGCAGCATGATATTTGCATTCATTTCTCTGATTGTGATGTTTTGGGTATTTGGCATGATTTGTCTCATTGGGGAGGAACTACTGTTCCTCCTGGCTGGGAAAAATAAGGAGCGCAGCCAAGGTTGTCTCTCATTTTTAAACAAAATAAACATTTTGATTCCTTAATAATGTATGGTTTATTATTTCACAGAACAATGGATTTAATTTACTTTTTACACGTATTTCAAATGTGCCACCCCTCTTTGAGTCTGTGCCCCAGTCTGGCCACCCCGTCCAAAATTTTCTAGATCCACCTCTGAATATGGCTCTTCTAGTGCAGTTTTGGCTTTTGATTACATACCTACTGGAACACCGCTGGCTAAACAGGGTCTTCTTTCTGCAGTTTCCATGCAGGTAGAAACAAGCATCTGCAGCCACTTCAGCATCTGTCCAAAATAATAACAAACAGATCTAAGTCTCAATGCATCTGAATCAAAGCACATTTGAACCACACAGTAATCCACTGGTGTTTTACCTGGACCCCAGAGTTTCTTGCAGTGTTCCTGCCGTGAAGGACACTGTCCGTTGTAGCAGTATCCTTTTCCACGGCTGCACGGCAGGCCGTTTTGGGTGTAGGCGTCAATAGGGCAGGAAGCAGAGAAGCCAGTACAGTATTCTGCCAGGTCACACTCTCCTGTCTTTGGTCGACAGACGCTGCCTGTCGGTTTCAACTGCAGAGTGGAGAGAAACACAGATGGTGATGTACCAAATACTCTCATGCATAACCTGCCAGACTGCACAGTCAGACAGAGTCTAGCTATATGGTAGCACAGTTACTATCAGTGTGACTCCACTCATCTAGAGATGACACAGTGAGTATTACTTACTTGGCAGTTTTGGCAGCACTCTCCCGCTGCACACTGGGCTCCTGCGTTAAGTTTGCAGGTGGTGGCATTGCAGCAGGGATTCTTGCATTCCTATGAGGCAGGCAGTGGTATGCAAAACATTATGATCAAGTCTCCTTTGTGGGCTTTGTTTATATGATTGTATGTATGCACCCTCTGTGAACGCAACATGCACAAACCTCAGCGGTGCCACAATCACACTCCTCTCCAGGTTCTAGAAAGGCATTTCCACACACTGGCCCTCCAAAGATCCGATCAGTAGAAGGAATATCCAGCAGACAGGCAGGGTTCACCTCCTCCAGGAACCTGCTGAGCTGCTGATGACTGCAGCTGCTGAACGTCTGCGGATACACAAGGCTAGAAGAAGTGATAACAAGATGTAAAGAAAAGGTTGGTATTAGCTCTGCTTTGTGCTTAAGAATGGCAGATTTGGAGGAAAGAACCTGAGCTTACCCTACACTCTCAGCCATGATGCAGCCTTTTTTCGATATTAAGGAGCCACAGACACAGTTTTCAGAATCATGGGACAAGCCCAGGTTGTGACCCATCTCATGTGCAATAGTGGAGGCCACTCCAATTGGGTTATTGTTATGATCCTGTGTGTATAGGAGACAAAATATAATTATAATTCCCTTTTGTTTTACATTCATTTCTATATTTATATATTTTTACACTAAATTTCACATGTATACATTTATGAAGCAAAAAAAAAAAAACATACTTACCTCATTGACAGCTCCAGAGTTTGAGGTGCACATTGCATTGGTGTTTGCTAGGCCCACAGTAGAGCCCTCAAAATCCACACCTCTGAATGAACAAACAGTTAAATGTTTAGACAGCAGCCCAGACAGCTTAAGACAGCTTTGAGTGATTTTTAAATTGGAAGTTGAAGGCGGCTGCGTCTTACGTGATGAACTGTGCATTGTCGTGTTTGGTCCTTGGCAACAGATTCCGCTGACGCCATTCGAGGAAACGACCAAGGGTGAGCTCAGGATTACTGCTGACCTGTATCTGATCTCTGTATGACCAGATATCCAGACCGACCAGCATCACACGAACACCCACTGACCGATACAGCTGAAACACAGCAGCATCTTAGCACAAACTGGAAATTACCATAAACCTGAATGAATTGTCAGGTAAATATTCTATATCACTGTGCGACTGTGAACGAGTCCAACACATAGAACCAACTAATGCCATCACAGGAAACCACTGACGCTGGCTGATGATACATTCATGTTGTCTCTACTCTTTCAGAGTATGCAAAGAGATTTGTGTGATATGTGTGAAAATCTTCAGCTTTGGTGTGAAGATTCACAGTTAAAGTTAGATCTTCACAGTGAGAGAACTTTTCCTTCCTGGTCAGATTCCAGTCAGTAAAGGAACAAATAGTATCAGGACAGATTTCTTGCATTTAATCCACATTGAAAGTGAAGTCTGACAAAGTGCTGGACACGTGGCTGTGCTGCATTGTGAGAAAACTGTAAGTGCTATCTGCAGCCAATGAAAATAAACTAAATTACTAAATTACTGGTAAAAATAGGTTCTTACTAGTCCAGAAAGGAAACTGCATACATTACACAAAATTAAGATTTTTGCACTCATTTGAACTTTAGAATGCCCTTATTTTGCAGTCTCTGTTATTTTTCCCCAGAGCCAGTGGGAGCAAAAACATGACAGGACTGAGGCTTTTTAACTGACAGACTCCAAAGAAACACACTTACCTTGTCTACATGGTTTGCTATTTCAAGAAGTCTGGCCTCCACTGTCTTCTTACTGCCAAACTTCTTATACTAAAACACAATCGTCATTAACATTAGCAATACAATCAACCACATCTCAGATATAAAACATAATCATTCCACTTCAAGATGAAAATTATTGATAATGATGACTGATCATCTGCAATAACACACAGAGTAGTCAGTGATAGGAAAGTCAAACCTCCGTGTAGTCGACCACCAGAACCAGCTCCACTGTCCTGGGTTTTACGGTGTGATCTTTGGTCTGGGCTCTGCTTTTCTGAATAACAAAAAAAGGAAAAAGATATTAACAATATTAAACAAGTGTGGGTGAACCACAATAACTGATTATTTTAATACTTGTAAAGCATGAGTGCACTGTATTGTAGCAATAAAAGGAGCATTACGATGAGCCTGCAAATTATTTTGATGCAAAAGAACACATTATTTATTAAAATATGCAAAATGATGTTTGCACATTAAAGCTGACAGGCACTGGTCGAGTTTCCAAATGTGTTAACATGGATCTCTTCCTTCTTTTCATGGTGTTGTTTCACCATGTTCCCCTTGCTTCATCCCTTTCATTTTATCTCTGTTAATTCTACTAAACTCTCATGTTGTATGATTTTAAGGGGAAAGGATTTGTTCTTTTTAGCATAAATGTGATGTAGATACAGAATTATTATGACATAGAACTGTGTATTGTAATCATTAACAATTAACAGTAGTGTTTTACTGCATATCACCTTGCTTCTTTTTTGTGAGAATGCACAAAATACTGGATGTTGGTAGTTTCAGTCCAAAGATCTAGGCTGAATGCTTCAAACCATAGTGTATTTCTGTATGTGTCCACGCTGTGTCTTTACCAGACTGCCAAGCTGGAACAGTCCAGACGGACGAGCTCCGTGATCATAGAAAGTGGTCGTGTTTCCATGGGAACAGGAGCTCCTCTTCCTCCTCAGGTGGTTGTAGTTGTAAACAGCGTGAAGACCCTCGTCATTGTGAGTGTCAGAGCTCTGTCTGTGGTTCTGCTGTCCCACCTCAGCCCCAGACAGAGGTTCAATAAGATACATCTGGTCCTGGACTTGCACAAACCCCCTGCAGTGCAAAATAGGGACTTCAGAGTGGACAGAAGCAAACACTTTGTCTATATATCTAATTCTCAAAAAGATCTCAATTTAACTAAGCATAAGATGGTCTTTTTATAATAATAAATCATATTGATGTTAGAGTGTCTTATAGCGGGCAGAAGGCAGCTTTAATTAGAGAAGTCTGCACTCCATGAAGTCCTCAAAGAGGAAATTAATGCTGAGGAACTGTCTCTTTGGATTACACATACTGGTCATGTGTCAAAGCAGGTCCAAATCATCATAGGCTTAATCCAATTTGGCACTCCATTCCGGCAAACAATAGCAGTTTTGTAATTAGAGACACAGGATGAGATAAATTTACATCTGATGTTACTCACTTTATTCCTGAACACAGTCCCACGCTGACAGAGGAGTCCTCGACACCCACAATGTGTCCATGGTAGTAGCAGTGAACCTGAACAGACATCCATCATTTGTCAGACAATAAATGGAGAGATTTCAACTCACACTTTGGTTTTCCAAATATCTCTATCACAGTATCAAAATGTGAGAATAAGACATGTTATGAGTGTCACAATTAGAGAGACCTTATATGTCAATTCTGCTTCCACATAAGACTCATAAGTTGGTTGGTGCCACCTCTTGTAATGAGGAACTTTGTAGTTGAGAAATTACAAAAAAGATTAAAAGTTTATCATGATATCTTGAAATAAGAAACTGTTGGCATGTACTGCATAACATACATTTAGTCGATGAAGGTGATGAAGATCACTGGGATCCATAGGAACAGATTGTAAAATATGAATTTAACAACTCTGTGTGTCTTATTTGTGTTCCACAGTCTTATAAAAACATGACTGGTAAAAATATGAGTATTAAAACTTGTATTTTGGAAATAATGTAGCCATAAGTGTAGGTCAGATTTCAAGAGCAAACCTTTCTGTGGAAGATTTGCATTTAAAAATTCATGTCTGTTATATTTAACCGTTCAGACCTGGGAGTCTTTTAAACTGATATCAAAGAGGACAAACGAACACCCAGCACAAGAAGACAATGTACCAAAACCACTGAAACTGGGTGGGTATACTGTGGTGCAGGATATTCGAACTTAACTCATTAAAACCATTTGGTACTACTGTATATAGACTAATCTGGTTTCACACCTCTGAATCACCCATGTTTCTGATTAATTTAGTAATTCAAATAGAAAAAGCCATGCCTGATTTATAGGCTGCTATACCTATACACACTCAAAAGGGCTTACGATCTAAATTTTTATTTAACTTACAACAGTATCAACTCCCAAAAAGAACACTACATAAACGTATTAATTTAAGAATAGAGCTTGTTATGACAGTAAATGGTAATGAATTGCTTAATTTTAGTGAAAGAAGGCAAAGATGCATACCCTAAGGTCTGAAGTAGTTGTAACTTGGGCGCCCTGATCAGAATAGTGAGTCACAGAGAAGTTCTTCCCGACCAGACCTCTGAAAAGAATAACGTTTTTATATCAATAATACTAACAGATCAAAAAGAAGGTACATTATGTATGGACCCTGCTGAGTAACCTAATAAAGAAAAATCTTTCTTTTCTTACTTGTTCCTTTCCAGATGTAGTGTGTAGTTTTTCTCTGCAATTGTCAAGGAGTACTGGAGTACATCTGGGTATATCTATACACACACAGCAGAAGATACCTTCAGGCATCCTTTGACAGGTTACAAATGATTTTTCAATAAACCGACTGAATAAATGTTACAGTGCAGTGTGTGTTACCTGTGTGGAAGCACCATTAATGAGTGATGACTCCTTTAGCTTCTGAGGTACCACTGTTTGGTACTTCATCACATGAGGTAGAGTCCTCACACTGCCTGCAATTATTCCTGCAAGGAGGGACATTTAATGAGACAAAAGAAAGAAAGAAAGAAAGAAAGAAAGAAAAAGTAGTAACCTACCCCATGAGGAGAAGAAAATCCATATAAAGTATCCAGAATATAGCATGTTGCTCTACCGGACGGACTCTGTCATTGTGTGATTTGCTGTCTGAGAGAAATACTGAGGATCTTCAGCTCTCCGCCCCTCGCTGCTGTGTAATATCCTGAAAGTGACCATTTGAGACGAGGAAACCGTGAATCATAAGCAGACCCCGTAAAAAGTTACATTTGCTTTCACAGATTGAATATCTATTTAATGTGTGACGAATTGAGTGAAATTAAATTAAGTTACAAACATTATTTTACAGAGAGCATTGTATGCAATGTAATGGATGAGTTCGCCTCCAAACGTGTAAAAGTTTAGTTTGCAGTTCACTTTAAAAAGGTTATTTTCAAAGGTTAATGAGGTTAGGTTTACGTGAAGCGCCAAAGAACTTATTTTTCTTTCAAACGTTATTTTCCTTTATTACAATAGGATCTTAGCCTAGCTTACCCACTTCCCCATTTAGCCTACCACTTACAGATGACACTATTTATTTAACAGCTGTAAGACAGTTTAGCACTGAAGTGCAGCTGCAAGTAGGGCACGTTTAACTGGGCGGAAGAATAGCGTTAATTTACATGAACATGTTATAACAGAACATAGTATAACAATCCACTTTAACCTCTATGTTTGTGTCGCCACCTATTGGTCAAATAACGCAGTAGTTAGACACTTGTTATGTTTTCATATTGTCTGCTTTTCCATAGTAATACAGAGAATATTTAGATTGATTTATAAATGTAGCATGCACCTGTGACAGAAAAAATAATAATTTTGGGCTACTGCCACTGATACAGATCGATGTAATAGGCCTACTGGATATACAGCCTTCATATGCATACATTCATTAGGTAGCGCCGCATTACCGTCCCAACATGGCGGCGACGGTGACGCATTCCCGTAAAGGACCCTATATTTGATGACGTCGTCATTCAGTGACAATGTGAACCAAAACAGAAAACTGCTGCTGCTGTAATGTTTTATTTAGATAACATTACAATCAGGGGAGTATGAAAACCTATGGAAACAATGCAGCAGCCTCACGTGCTACGACTGACGGAGGGAGATGTTTTAATAAAAAGCCGTGAAGAAGACTGTTCGAGAGGAGGCACACACAAGCTCGGGCATAGCGAGTGTGAGGAGGTAAACCCGTTCAGCTTCACCCCGCAGCTCATCCACCTGCACAGGGACCACGAGCTGTTTGAGGTAATGTAACGGAACCGACTGACCGTTACTTAGCTGAAGCATGTAACATCAGTTATCTGCCTTTTGTAACACGCTGCACGTGGGTGCTTTTTACAGGATGGAGACATTCACAGGCACATGTATCTGCAAGACCTCTACATCTCTGAGGCAGACGACAAACCAGCACTCAGGTATAAAAACCACCTTATATCCGTGCTTCTCGCCAGCTTTAACCCGTGCGGTGTTTGCGTGTGGCTGCGCAAGCAACAAACAACATGTTCTTGATATAACCCATGCTAGTTCTACTGACTTGTTTATAAAAGGTTAAAGTTATAACGTACTAAGTCTATTGCTGGAAAGATAATGTCCTTAACACAAAAAGCAAAGAACATGAACATGCATACATGGGTTACCAGCAACCAGAAGCTGAAACACAAATACAATGAAACAACACTTAAGTTATAGTATTGAAACTTAATAAGATGTTTATAATTCAGTGAGCCAATAAAATAAATAAATGAATGAAATCATCCTACTCAGGTTTCTGTTTTCACTGTTTGAGAGTAGCGACTTAAAGAAACGCTCCAGTATTTGGCTTTGCCGGTGTAGGCCTATGTTATGGTATGACTAATTTGTCCATCCATCCATCCATCCATTTTCTTCCGCTTATCCGGGGCCAGGTCGCGGGGGCAGCAGTCCAAGCAAAGATGCCCAGACTTCCCTCTCCCCAGACACTTCCTCCAGCTCCTCCGGGGGAATACCGAGGCGTTCCCAGGCCAGCCGAGAGACATAGTCCCTCCAGCGTGTCCTGGGTCTTCCCCGGGGCCTCCTCCCGGTGGGACATGCCCGAAACACCTCCCTAGGAAGGCGCCCAGGAGGCATCCGAAACAGATGCCCGAGCCACCTCAGCCGGGTCCTCTCGATGTGGAGGAGCAGCAGTTCTACTCTGAGCTCCTCCCGGGTGACCGAGCTCCTCACCCTATCTCTAA